TCCAATCCAGGACATTACCCAATACGGGCACTGCAAACCCTCTCCTAAATGATGTAATCACACTGGTGCTGCTATAGTTCTGGTTGATTTGCAGTTTCCATTACAATAAATCCTTGCCGCATATTTCCAGAAGTTCTAGAATGTTTCTGCCCCTTTAAAAAAAAGGTACTCCAAGTTCAAACTTGCCACATAAGCCAAAACAAACAAACTAACAAACAAAAGCAAGTATATATTTTTTTTCCTTATGCCTCAAAATAATCTGTACATTAAAAAAGGAGGGAAAATGGAATGAATGCTTCTCTGAATATTTACAGTTCCATTCTTAAAACAATAAGGACACTGATAACATTTTTTAATTTTGCAAATCAAGAATATAAAAAAATGTTAAAGGGACAAGAGATTAGCACCCTTTCATCTTAAAGTATTCATATAGCGAAAAAGGGAGAATGAATAGACAGAGGCTTAAGCCTCATAACTGTCTTGCTACAAGCAGGCTCATGACTTCATGATCAGTACTAAAACGCTCCATTTTAAACAGCTATCAGGAATGGCTATTGTACATGTCCATGCAAATGTCTTTCCTAAAGAATTTACTATGCATTATAGCAACACAATCCTATTTACACAATAAGTTGTTGTTCCAGTCCATCAAGTACACAAGGAATTTTAATGGATGCTAAAAAAATCAATTAGGCAATGATCCTCTGATTAAACAGGCACATCACACCATTCAAATTCTTTCAAACATATTCATAAATCCAAGCCTTCAAACTTTGCTGAAAACTTTCAAAATGTGTATGTGGATATTTCAAGTATATGATTTTTGAGTTTAATGAAATTCATCACAGAATAAGCACTACATGCTATTATCATGAAAAAGCAACACCATCAGATAATGGCAGGAAAAAAAACCCTTATTTTGATGGCTATTCTTAGGTATTTTTGTTTTTAGCAGAAATGTCTTTACAAAGCACCAGAAGGCTTTCCTACGGCACATGGCACCAAAGGACAGAAACATTTTGAGGAAGCAATCGAACTAGAGCCAGAAGAAACTGATGAGAGCATCATCAATTGCTAGATGGAGGTCCAAAAACGGTGGGAAGAGAAAAAGAAGTTAAATGAAAAGGAAAGTACTGTCTTTATAATCAGATATTATTATTCAGACAGTATTTCAATCATAGTGAAATGTATTGCAAAATCAAGCCTGAAGTTTGCAGGTGCCTGGTATCCCTGAATATTAGGATTTTCAATTCTGATATCATCTTTTCGTAATTCCAAGGGATATCTAACTGGAAGTTAGATCAGAAACTCAAAGTTAAACCTGAGAGTATGTTTTTTCTGCCTTCTGTTTCTACATACGTTCCCTGAAGTCCTGGGTAAGGAATGCTAATAATCCTAAAATGACATTCACCCCACGCAAACCAGGAGAGACAGTACCTGAGATGATGAGATAGTATTAAAGCCTTGTTGCAACTTGTGTTTCAATCATGCTGAAGACTGACAACATAAGCACAGGTCATCTTTCTCCCAGTTTTCCCTTGCCGCCTTCACCCCCTTTCCCACTACAGGTGGATGGGAAAGAAACAAAACCCCAAGTTTCCTTGGAATATAAAAATCCCTATGTAATTAATTCACCATATATATTTATGCATACTGATGAGAGATACATCAAGTATGTAATCCTATAAATTACACATATGACGCTTAGTATCACCTTCCTTTCCCATACCTCCCCTTTCATATAGATGTCAAATCAGCCCAAATCCTTTATATATTTATTTGACTCACACTGAGTTAACTGGACATGTCCTTAAAATTCTACAAAATGCTGCAGCATTCTTCAAAATGCTTAATATTTTGTCGCAGCAAGCTATCACCCACCTTCACATGACAAATCTAGATCTCTTTTGTAAAGTGTCAGAGAAAAAGGTGAAAATCTCAGGTTATCATTAGCTTTATCCTACATGCCTATTTTTATATCTCAATCCATTTATCTGTAGTTATATTAGTGCAAAGATATTGTCTCCATTTCAAATTTTGCTCCTCATGTATGGCTCAATGTGTTGTTCTGGGGTTCATCATTGGTAACTCATCAGAGATGAATTCCAAACCCAAACACTTAGGAGATCTGCTTTCTCTCTTCACAGCATCCTTTGCAGTCATGCCACAGAATATATCCCATACCTTCCATAATCACTTCAACATTCTGAGATTTCCACACAGAACATTAAGACAATCTGCAGGTTTATTTGCACCTTCCTGTTTGGTATCAAGCATGCCTAGACCAAGCAGCAGTTGTAAGAGAATGTCTGCAGCATTTCGTAGATAACCCTTTTACAACCGGTTATCAGGCTATGCTTGATATCTGTGCTGTAGATATGTAGACTGACTGCACCTGATAACATTTCATCTTTTTCATCCTCTTTAATCTTTCACTGCTTATGCCAGAGGCCTCCCTTCCTGTGACAGAGCTCTTCCACCTCTGTGCTACAGGCTGGAACACACTATTCTCTGCTGCAGTATGACACAGATGAGCTAACTACATCAAGGCAATTATCTTCAATTCTACCATTTCCATTAATTTTAGCTCAATCTTTAGGGTGTTGCTTGTCATCTTTATTTTTTTCATTTGCAGTATCCTGCAGCAGAGCCTGCAAGTTAAAATCCATCAAGTCCCATAGTTCTAACCTCAAGCCACAACATTTGCTTACAAAGAGTCAGACTTAACATCTCAAGGTCTTCTTCAAAATTCAAAAATCTTCACAGTTTAACAAAGAGCCTTCTTGTTTCATCCAAGGAAACAGAACTGACACCCTCAGCTATCTTTGGACAACAGCGAACCATCATGTAAAATAAGAAAAACATCTCCCATTGATGTTTCCCACCCTTCCTACAGTATGGCACTTCCACCCTCCCACCTATCTACTCAATGTTCTCTCTGCACAATACTTAAATCTGAGCACTGTATGTGTTTAAGGCCCAGTATTTTTTAACCAATCAAGTTTTCTGAAGTGCCTTGCGCTTTTGATAAATTCAATGTGACACTGCAAAGGAGTCCAATTTCCAGAAAGTGCTGAGATTCATCTTCTGAAACTTCTGGCAATATTATTTATTTTATACATATGATATCTAGAAGTAGGTACATGCTACACAGTCAATTTTAACAAGCATAGCTGACTCTCCCTATTTAATATTCACATCACAGGAGTAAAAATCCAGCCAGGAATCAAACTGTGGCATCCTGTGCCAAAGACAACTTACCACTCAGCTGGTAAGTTGGCAATTCAATTTACAAACCTGCATTCCTGCATTCTAATCCTTTGTAGAAAGGTGGTAATATACGAGCAATATGAAAAGAACTGGATTCAGATCATTAGAGGTTCACGAACCAAACACACGAAGCCTTGGAGGCTGTCCAAAACAAAATCATGCCTAGGTGGTGATGTCCGTTCAATAAAAATCCAATGTCATAATTATCCTCTCGCTTTTTCCCCAAAGAGCATTAGTGCTCGGAGCTGCGCCGCAGCTCAGCCGGTTACAGGAACGCTGCGAGGAGACGGACAGGGCCTGCAGCCAATGGCGGTGCCAGGTCACTGCCTGCTGACGGGTAATCTACAATTACCGAGCAATTAGCAAATGCAGTGAAAATTCAACACTCATCTCTGCGCAACACAGAATAACTCATTTTTAAATTAAATGTGTGTTTTAATAACTTCACTTTGGCTACAGCCACACAGAGAAAAATAAAGCCTCCTTTATTTAATTTCTCCTCCCCTTTGCAACCGACAAAATGCTTTGCTGTCTGAAACAAGCAACCAAATATATTGTTTGACATTTCTAAACTAAACAATCTCTTCCTCACCAGTAAGTATCTATTTAACAACAGAAAAGAACAAAAACTAAGACTGCTGCTAATGGTACTATACTATATTTGAAACTGTTATTTAGTTAACTGCCTGATTAATAACTTGTCCTGCTGGATGGGTGATAACAAGAATTAGCCAGGCACCTATCTGCCAGGGAGTCCAAAATTTTCTTGTCTTCTCTATATTTAACAATAAGTGACATAAAAAAGTTAATCTGCAATCAATCAGTTGCACAAAACAAATGTCTTTTCCCAGTAATGATCAAGTTATTAATCTGTAGTGCTCACACCACAGTGTAGAGCTCTCATCGCCTACACTCACATCCCTAATTTGAAAAAAAAAAAAATTTAGCTAAAAGTTAGTTTATTGATAATCTTGGTTTATCTCTCCCTCTAGAAAAACTGCTCTATCTTCCTTAGTATAGGGTATGCACATTGGGATTGACCTTCTTTAAAAGGGTAGGAAAAAGGCAGAAGAGGTCACCATCAACAGTGAAATTCAAGTAGATAAAAGGAGATTCTTACCCTTCTATACCCTCGGATACAAAAAAAGAAAATAAATCCTGACTTTAAAGAGCTGGTAATGGGAAAAACATAGGAAAAGCTACAGACTCCTATAGAAATGAGGAGAAAAAAAGAAAACCAACCACCACAACAACAAACAACTGACATAAATATGTAAGGTTTTTGTATGCACTGGACAACACCAGCCTTGATGCACTGATGTCAGCTCTAGGTTTTCATCTTACATTTAAATGTATCTAAGCCAGAGAGAAAGAAAACATAAAAAAACCCCAAAAAATCAAAAAAGCAAAGAAAATAACCAAAAAATATACAAGGCTACATGATGTCAATTGGGAAAAAAGGAAAACTCATGGCATTTGACATACTTCTCTCTCTCCAAAAAGATACCAGCAATGAACTAAATCCTTTTCTAATTGTATGGGATTTTGGAAAACATTCACACTGTAAACATAAATTTATTTAGTTTTAAAACAGTCCTCCATCCTCCTTCTGCACAAGAAATACTTATTTACGTGCTTTTTCTTTTGCACCCTCTATATTAACGAGGTGTCAGAAGGGAAGAGAAAGAGAGGAGGGAAACCAAAGCAACCCAGAAAAATCCTCCACAAACCTGTTGCTGTGGATACTGCATTCCTCCCATGGCTGCCGGGGCTCGGCCCTGCATTCCCACGGGATAGCGCTGGGGGCCAGGAGGGCCATAGGACTGCCCGGGGTAGGGGCTGCTCTGCTGTGCCTGAGAGTGAGGGTTATTGCCCATGCCGTACAGCTGCGGTCTCTTCATGACCATCGGATCCATTGGACTGCCCTGTTGATAAACACAAGCAAAAGAATATTTAAGACACGAAAGGAAAAGGTCAGAATCATCAGGCTTATCGTGGGCAGACTGTACACGTGTTTTCTCAGTGCTTTATACATCAAATATTGACTTGACTTACAAACTGGCAAAGTACCATAACCTCGTTCACATATTAATTAGATGAGGTTTTGAATGGTGATTTTTTTGGACTTCCACCACATTTAAAAAAAAAAAAAAGAAGAAGTTTTGTCTTATCCACAGAAAAAGCAGAAAAACTGCAAATAAATTTCAGTTTAAAAAATAATTAAGTATACTGCTGTAAACTGACCAGCATTACTTTCTTCGATGATAAAACAAAAATAAAATAAAACCAAAAATATATTTCAAGAGACACAAATAATGGACAAGCCATTTAACCTTGAGAAAATGACTGTTTTCTTACATCAAAAAAAGGGAAAGGAGAAAAGAGTTTCCAAGAAGCACAATGCCTACAGAACACCGTATTTCAGTGTTTTCATATTGTTCTCGTGTGCACTAATAAGTTTTCAGATCAAAAGGCAAGTCATAACCCACATTTTACATGAAAGTTTATTTGCCTCTTTAACAGACCTCAGAAAATCCAAACTGCAACCAGTGATGGAGGGGGAGGGGAGGCAAGGGAGGGAAGTTTTATTTTTAGACTTTTTGGCAGCACTTACCAAGCACTGTAACAGTTTCAGGACAGGTGTCAACCATTGTGTAGTATTACTCTCATGTTTTATTACTGAGGACTAACTGAACCAGAAAAAATATCATACTTCATCAAGCGCAGCACTGTATTGTTAATATGACATCCATTTTTTAATTCCCGAGTGCTAGTTATATTCATGGAAGAAAACTGAGGTCAGGGGGAGGGAGAAGTTTTTAAAAGCCTATCACAATTTCATCTTCATGAAAGAGACATATCCCCCCTCTTCCTCCTAAGAAAAAAAGACATATTAATTCACCCCACCAGAAGCAGGGCTCCTTCCTGTAGCACATTTTGTACATGTTTTCCTGCAACGTACTGCTGATCAGTTTTATTTTAAAACCCCCTATGTAACACGACTTCTACAAGTCCTTTCTGGCTATTATATTCTGATGTAACAGTTATTATGACAATAACTAACATTTTCCACTCCCATCCCTGTTTCTTCTCATTACTGCTCTGCATACTACTTTTTTTCCTCTTACCAATGTCCTCTCTAAAGTTGTCACTGCTTAATGAACTACTACTCTTTCCTTACTGCAAATAAAAAAACATCAAACCTCATTTTTTTCACTGGCTCTCTCCACAACTACCAATACCAACTTGCCAGGACTGTCATGCTAAACTAATAAAGTATTCCAAATGTGGGCACACTACATCTGAGGAGGTGGAAACAATAACCTCCTCCTCCTCACAGGACACCTCCATTCACTTCAGAAGAGGATCACCCTTTTTTTTACACCATAGCAAACTGCAAAATCACTTCTAATTTTGGGTGAGTATTACTCAGCAATTTTCCCTTTATTAGTTGCCTGTTCTGTAGCCAGAATAGAAGTTTCTATTTTTTGCCATTAAATGTCCCTGGGTAATTTCCTATTTATATTTCATTCTTTTCAAAATCAATCGTTCCCCAACCACTTCAGGTCACCTGACCCATAACAACATTCTCATTTTTTATTTTTGTTTTTTTAGGCCACCATGCACTCTCACCACAGTTTTAACACAGAGGCTAAGCAGATGAACTATAGATTTCTTGTTACAGTGTCCATGGGGACAACTTACATTTCCTCCTATAAATCATAATACTTTATCTATATTTATTTCTGTGTTTCAATGTTCATTCCGTTCATCACCTGTCATATTCATCTTCTCAAACATAAATCTTGTTGAAAGTGAGTCTCATGCTTCCTTCACAAGATTCTCACGACGCCCAACAGTACTCTTCATTGCCACCATCTTCTGTTTCAGGGAATTATTTCCATGTCTCATCTTCAATAACATTTACTCAAATTCAAGTTTAATTAATTTTGAGTGTAGTATTTTCTGTTCCGCATCCAATTCTTAAATATCATTATAAACAATGCAGATAGCTACACAGCTAAAACAGTCTGACATTTTCCATTATTAACACTACTTTCAGGTGCATATAAACTTTGACAAACTTCAAGCATTTAGGCTGAAATTTTCCAGGCCATATGTATGCCTGAGGCTGAAATTCTCTGGAAAATTCAGCAGAAACAGTTCAGCTATGTCTAAGAATGAGGTCACAGAAAAATACATGGTTTATGTTCTCACATAAAACACTTGAAAATATGTCTTGAATACCATGCTTTGAGGCAGAGAATTTTAATTTGCCAGGGTGACACTGGACATTCATGAAGGGCAAGGCTTGTGCCCCTGTCAGAGAGAGCACCTGAATGTCACCAGACTGGGAGCAGAGGAAGAAGAAACAGAAGCACAGGAGTGGCACAGCAAGGCTTCATCAGAGTTACTAAGTGTATGGAGGCAGCCTTGAATTTTCCAGAGAGAGGGACAATGGGTTAAAAAAAGCAGTGGAGACAGAAGTAAGGCAGGAAGAGCTGAAGGAGAGAAGAAGAAACAAGGTCAGGAGGTGACATGGATACAGGCCAAAGAGTCTCTGTCCCCTGGACTAGTGACCTCCAAGCAGCGGAGCTTCTGCATGCATGTAAGTTAGGAGAGCGAGCCTCACTGCCAGTGCATCCTTCCTTCCCTTCTTCTCACCAGAGCTTGCCATCACTATGCTTCTCCTTGTCTTCTCCAGGTGAGCTCCTCCTCTTTCCCTCAGGTGACAGCACTCCAATTCAGACAGGTGAAGGGATAAAGATCCTGAGATATTGCTGTAACTTCAATCACCACGGGCTGCGGGTGACTTAAACAACATTGAAATCGAGGGGGTTGTGGTCACTCGGTATGGGTAGCAAGGGACTTGGAGATACTCAGAACTTACTGTGCACAGTGTAAGTCAGGCATCCAGTGAAGGACAGGAGATAGCTGAACATGAGAGGGCTAGACTGAGAGAGCAGTAAATACTCCTCTGCAAATTACTGGGACAACCCCTAGAGTCCCACCCTAGTTGTCAGTGCTGCCTATAGCCTCCTCCCTCCAAGGTCTCAGGGAAAGAACAGACAGTAGAGTGCTCTGATTGTCTCTAGGGTTGGAGAAAATGGACCCAGAGAGGAAATATCCCATGCACTGGCCAGTCCTTATGCAGACTGGCAAGTCACCACTGCTGTTCTTGACTCCCTTTGGATTAGATCCCAGCCATCTGTGTGGTGAAGCTAAAGGTGAAGACATCTACCAGTGATTGTCAACGTATTTCTGCAAGGCAAAACAAAACCAAAGAGCCAGGTAGAAATGGACTCTACCTCTGCATCTACCATAGTATTTCACTAAAGCAAAAAATTTTCAAAATTTACCGATTTATTGCATCCTGGCTTGAAATTATGAGGTTTATATTGCAGGAATTGCTGTGTACCTACAACTGCAACTACTTTTAAATTTGATGAGAGATGTGCTCTGAAGGTGTTTCCAGAAGCTGTATGTTTTAAATAGTTGGACCTACAGCCCTCAAAACTAGGCCAAACCTTCTACAACAATGCCTCAGTTTCCCATCTGCAAAAATTTAAAAAATTGAAATAAAATTTTAAAAAAATCATCTCTTCACACAGAGGCAATTTTAGAATTTAATATGCCCACAATCAATATCACTGCAAACTCTCTAGCAAAATAACAAATTTTGTTTTCAGAATAGTGTACAGTGAGAAAGACCTGCAGCCATACACTTAACAGAAAGAAAAAATTGCTGCTCATCAAATACTGTGTCCTTCCATATAGTGAAGGTAAAATTTCAAGGCAACTTTTCCCAAATTTAATTCATGCACAATTAATGCAATGCTTTAGCGTTGTTTTGAACTTCCAGGTTTCATTTTTGTAGTAAGTGTTTCTCTCATCCATGACATTTTTGAGAAGTTATTTATAAAGAGTTGTTAATTGAGACAGGCATATTACAATCTTATCTGAAGGTTCCTTTAACATTTATTGTTCCAGTATTTTCTTTAACATTGGTTCCAGTTTTCAAAGACAAGTTTTCGGTGACAGGATGATGATGACAAGCATCAACCTCTTCATGTTGCAGGGATCATAAGCCAACCCCTCCACACCTGCTCTCTAACATTTACCAAAAATTACAGCATTGTTTTAACTGCATCACATTCTTCTGAAACCACTGCACATGTTTGGCCATGAATGGATGATGTGTATATTTTCACATCTTCCACGCCTTTACTTAATTCTATTACATGCTGTACTGCAAAGTTTTAATTACTTATTAAATTTTATTTTAATATCATTGCAGTCATCAATATCCATTTGTTTCCTTTCCCTTCCTTTACAGAACCGTCCAGTTTTTCTCTAGTGCTATTTTACTCCCAATATACACATTACCTTTTTACCAATTTATCTTGTGTTTGCTCATGTTATTTTTAACTGCCATATTATGCTAGGCAAGCCTAAATGGATTCTGTTTTTTGCTTCTTATTCCACACCTCCTCTTCAACTTGCCGCATTTCATTTAAACTTTGCGTAGATCTGCAGTTCCTCAAAATACCTCAGTCTTGTTCTTTGCTTCAGTCCACAGTAATGTTATAATTTATAACCCCTTTATTATATTGCCTATCTTGTGTCAGTATCAGATTCATTTGCACATGTACTATCAGGCTCTGTGAGAACAGAGCATTTCATAAGAGTTCTTGCCTATTATGTGCCTTGTGAGTGCATTAAAACACCCAACAGAAGGTTTGCTAACGATTTCAATAGGGCCAAGGTTTTATTCCTGGTCTTTAGATTGACAGTCCAACCATTAAGGCAGGACACTGAAAAGCCTACACTGCCTACAAATAGTAACTGACAACATTTTTCTCTTACCTGCTCCTTTTTTAAATGTTTTGTGAAAAAGAATACATAAACTTGACATTCCTGC